CTGGACTATGAAGACATCGACATCTGGAGGGAAGCACGGTATTCAGTGGACAGTTAGGACGCAGCTGGACGATCTGGACTTTGCAGATAACCTGGCTCTTCTATCGCACACGCAACAACAAATGCAAGAGAAGACGACCAGTGTAGCAGCAGCCTCTGCAGCAGTAGGTCTCAACATACATAAAGGAAAAAGCGAAATTCTCCAATACAACACAACATGCACCAACCAAATCACTCTTGATGGAGATGCCTTGAAGGACGTTAACACCTTTACATATCTGGGCAGCATCATCGACAATCAAGGTGGACTAGATGGAGATGTGAGGGCGTGGATTGGCAATGCAAGGGCTGCATTTCTACAGTTGAAAAATATCTAGAACTCCAAACAAATATCAATCAACACCAAAATAAGGATTTTCAATACAAATGTCAAGACAGTTCTGTTGTATTGAGATGAAACATGGAGAACTACGAAAGCTATCATCCAGAAGATACAAGTGTTTATTAACAGTTGTCTACGCAAAATACTTCGAATTCGTTGGCCAGACACCATCAACAACAACGAACTGTGGGAGAGAACAAATCAGATTCCAGTGGAGGAGGAAATCGGGAAGAAGTGGTGGAAGTGGATAGGACATACACTACGAAAAGCACCTAACTGCGTCACAAGACAATCCCTCACATGGAACCCTCAAGACAAAAGGAAAACAGGAAGGCCAAGGAATACATTACGCTGAGAAATAGAGAAAGATATGAGAGGAATGAACAAATATTGGACAGAACTGGAGAAAGAAGCCCAGGACAGAGTTGGTTGGAGAAAACTGGTGGGCGGCCTATGCTCCGTTGGGAGTAACAGGCGTAAGTAATTAAGTAAGTAAATCATTATGATAAACTAAAAATTTAATGGTTATGTGTGCTTGAATCATGTCAAGCTGTTGTCAGTGAAAAGCTAATAAGAACTCTTGTATTAAGCTGAAACAAATATCGAGTAATTCTCATTCCTAATAAAATCCTTCTTCCAATAAAAACCATATTTAAATGAAAATAATCCTGTTTAAGAAATCTTTAAGGATATTTATGTCTTTTAATGTATAATTCACTTTTTCTAATATATAGTTCTGGAATGAACAAGCAAGTTTACATCTCACACAGACTCTAAGTAGTAGAAGTTGTTTCATTTAAACAATAAACGAGTAAGCTAAACAAAACACAGACTTATTTAGTGAACTGATCTCCTTGAAATCATGTTCCAGTCAACGCTGTGATATAAATTGAAATAAACTTTTCATGAGTGACATAGTAAAAGACGAACCATTTTTTATAACATTGCAGTAATTACTCTTTATGAATTGAGTAATCGGGAGTAACTTATTCTAAACACTCAAACAGCAATGAGGAAATATCCTGTGCAACTCCCATTGTAGTGAAGAGAACACAGGTGGGGCAACCAGACTGTATTTAACGAAAATTACAGAGTTACTCAGTAAAATAGGAAAACCATATCGTAAATCGTTCATTTGCAAAATAGCAGTTCATCATATCAAACTGGACTGTTCCTGTTGCAAAACATCAATCCATTGTCACTATTCATGCGTTTCATACAAATTCCATTGTGTTCTTCTGACTCTTCCTTTCTTGATCTTCCCCCATCCTCTGCTGCCGGACATTACGTTGACACTAACGTCATATACTACTTATAAATAGCTCACACCACACCATAATTATAATTAAAATATTTGTAAATATTTATTTGAAAACAACAGCAACTGTACACTGATCTAGAAATATTAAGAATTCTTTGTAATAAATTTCTATGATAAGTGGACGATAGTTCACGTAGGATTTAAAGTTAGGAACTAACAGATAACTGTTTCGTCTGAGTATATAGCTTCTTAGCAGTGGGCTTGAATTACTACTTTTTGAAGAATCGAGAACATGAGGTGTTGATTACACTGTGACTGCTTTGTTTCTAGATCATGGAGCTAATAGTCTACACTTTAAACTCTAATTCTTGAAAAATCACTGTCACTAATTACGACTACCTGTCTCTATCAATATAGTTAAACGTCAGTAGCCCTAGTTTTCTATCAGAACCTAGAAAAAAGTGGTCCCACTGTTACATGGTTGTATTTTGTTCACAGGACCTTTTGTACAATGTCATACTAAGATACTTTCTTATCCAAAGTAATGTCAATTTATCAAGAAATCACTAATATATTTATCTGTTTCCTATAAAAAAAATTCACTACCTTTGTACACTGTTTATCACAGTTCCTTTTTCCTATTTATTTAACCATACTACTTATTTTCTTACTTGTTTTGTGTAAAAACATGCAGTAAAATTTATATTACAAGGGATTGAAGTTAATTTATGATTTCTTATTCTCATGAGAATATATATATATATATATATATATATATATATATATATATATATTCATGGAGTTTGATGATAACAGTTATCATCGTGATTATTTTCAGGGAAATCTAAAGTAATCAAATTAGACAAGTCAATAATTTGCTTTGTTTTACTCAAAGTTATGTATATTTATATATATTACTTATCTACTTATGGCTGTTATCCCTAATGAAGCATAGGATGCCGGTATTTATGTATATTTAAAATTATGAAGATTACAAACCAATCAAAGTTTGATATTCATTGAAAATCCAAAACAACTTGACATTTGTTTTGTTTTAGGGTGCGACTTCCCAGGAGTGTGTATCCCTAGCTCCATCAAACGGAATCGACTGCATGACCTTCAGTTTTGAGCTAGAGTACTTAACCTTTATGCCATTAAGCTGTTACTCTAACGATGTACAAATGTTACTTCAGTCAATCTGAGATATTGTGTGACCATCTTCTGTTGTATTCAGTGGCTAACATTCTAACATGAGACACTGTTTAACTACATTAGTTATGGATTCGATGAAGTATGCAAGAAACTTCCTATCGAAGCTAGTCATTAGTGAGCTCATGATAATTATTTGGCATGGAGATTGGGTGTTATGTTGAATGTTACTAAGATTAATTATGTTTTAACAGCTGGATTCACACTTATCTCACATAAATAGCAGCAATTGTGACGACAAATTTATCAACTCAATAAGTTAGCATTCTTAATGTGATTGATTAACTATGCTTAATAATGTCAGTTGTACAATGTTCAAGGGAAATAATGTCATAATTTGTAAATTATATTCATTTAATTATTAATGATCTTACCTTGAATTATGAAAATTATAATCATATTCGATTTGAAGTCAAATTATTTAATATTGAATAAGCTGATCAATCAGAAATTCAAAACTCATCATCTCAATTCAATACCATCTTACGTTCAATAGTCAATTTTGAAAAAGGAAAACAGATGAATAGCGATTGTGAAAATGTTTTCGAACTATTCAACACTGTGGAAATTATTTCATTTTATTTTACAATTTAATTTTAAATTCAATGTGTTTATCTGTACCTTGATCATATGTTTTAAAATGATCATTATGAATGCAAAACTGATATGAGATTCATCGGTGGTGCGCATCCACGAATCATGCAATTTCCGGGATTTGAACCTATGACCTTCAGTCTTGCATGCAAACGCTTAACATCTGGACCACTGAACCGGTGTCTAACCGCGTTTATGTTTAACTCCGTTCAATCCACAGTATTGCGAAACCTCATCCACCGTCTTCAGTGAGCACTGCATTAGATTCCGGGGCAGTCGCCCAGAGATTAGGCGTTCACGCGCGAGAGACTGAAGGTTCTAGGTTTGAATCCTATGAGTTTCAGGAGTCATGGATGCGCATTACCAATAAATCTCATACCAGGACGAACTGCCTGCTTAGTACTTTCAGGTTTCTAATGATAGTCTAATATTGATTAACTCAACGAAAAAAAGTTTCAGAGGGATTCATTGACAATAGCAATGTCATGAAATGTCATCAACTCAATAGTCCAGGAGCGATTTATCCCCCTTCAAGGTTACGGATTTCATTTCATGAAGGCTTGCTGACAAAATCTCACACTTGTCTAGTGCTCTATACTTTTCAGCGATTGTTTAACTGAATTCAATCATTCAAACATTTTATAAATCTAATTCACACAACACGCGCCAACCAAATCACTCTTGATGGAGATGCCTTGAAGGACGTTAACACCTTTACATATCTGGGCAGCATCATCGACAACCAAGGTGGATCCGATGCAGATGTGAGGGCACGGATTGGCAAAGCGAGGGCTGAATTTCTACAGCTGAAAAATATCTGGAACTCCAAACAACTTTCAACCAAAATCAAAATCAGGATTTTCAATACAAATGTCAAGACAGTTCTGTTGTATTGAGATGAAACATGGAGAACTACCAAAGCCATCATTCAGAAGATACAAGTGTTTATTAACAGTTGTCTACGCAAAATACTTCGTATTCGTTGGCCAGACACCAGCAACAACGAACTGTGGGAGAGAACAAGTCAGATTCCAGTGGAGGAGGAAATCGGGAAGAAGTGGTGGAAGTGGATAGGACATACACTACGAAAAGCACCTAACTGCGTCACAAGACAATCCCTCACATGGAACCCTCAAGACAAAAGGAAAACAGGAAGGCCAAGGAATACATTACGCTGAGAAATAGAGAAAGATATGAGAGGAATGAACAAATATTGGACAGAACTGGAGAAAGAAGCCCAGGACAGAGTTGGTTGGAGAAAACTGGTGGGCGGCCTATGCTCCGTTGGGAGTAACAGACGTAAGTAAGTAAGTCAGTACTCTACGCTAATATACTTTATTACATTACAAAAAATCAAGTATAATACATAAGCTGTTTGATAGTTTCAAACAAAATGAACCATTTCATAAAAACCACTTCATCGCATTTCTCTCATTCCGCTTTACGTTAAATTACTATTTAGGTTTTAAAAGGAATGAAAATATTTTGGAATTATTCAACAAAAAAGCCTCTATAATTTACGCCATATAACATAATTGCATAACATATTACTGAAATGCTTACTAATCACTCAGATCATCATCATAATAACAACGAACATTATTTTAAAGAAAACCAATATACTACTGCTACTACTACTACTACTACTACTACTACTACTTATAATCATAATAATTTCGACGGAAAAATTGCAAATGATGATCATTTAGAAGTGAATATTTTACAAAATTATTCAAAATACTACTGTCATACTAATAAACAGCAACAACAGCAACAATCCCAATTTATACCATCTCCTTTCATGTTATTCAGTTGGTCAAAATTAATGACAACTGACGTGTTTCGTGAAACTTTACAGAATATAATAATTTTATCGAATTGCAACAATATAGCGGCTAGTTTGCCAGCGACTGATAGTCCATTTATTGATAATAGTGACCATCATCTAAACTCAGATATTATCGATCTGACTCATAGACGAACTTTCATGGTGGGAAAATATTTGAATAAATTGAATACAATACTGTTTGACTATTTAACATCGACCAAAGATCAAGTCTCATCATCTACGTCAACAAGTATCACGAAGTCTGAATTGGATAATCATGATATGTCAAAGTATCTGCAACAGCATGAATGCTTAAATCAATTGATACATTTGCATCATTTATATGCAAACACTTTTATAAAAAATATCAACTGTGAAAGTAATTATTTATTTAGCCACACTGATAATCGATCCCTTGAAGAAACAATGGTGCAATTTGATAAAAATCAACCAATTTATTCAAATAATATTAAGCACCGTTTAAATGAATCCATGTCGACATTCAATCCATCAGAAGAGATGAATCCTTCCATTTATAATCCTATATGGTCAACTATATCAACCGAAAATCATCCTATTGAAAGAAATCCAAGTCCAATTGACAAGCAAACATTTGTGCCAGTATCGTCGTCTGCATCAATTGAACAACAACGTAGATACATTCAATCTTCAATAATTTCATTGAATAAAACAAAAACCAATGAAATTATTCCACAAACAACAATCAATTTGAATGATGAATTCATTTTCAGTCAAACAATTTCATGTTCATTATGTAAAAAATGTTTTCGATTTGAAAAAAATCTTTTAAGACATTTACAAAAAACACATGCAACTATTATAGGGGATACATTGTTAAAATGTAAATTATGTAATTATACAACAAAACATTATAGTAATATGTATGTACATATACGTACACATACAGGTTAGTTGAAAGAATTAAATATTTTTCTGTATAAAGATATGTGTGTGTGTGGTTGTACTGTTTCATCACAAGTACGATTAGCTTACTTACTTACTTCCTCACTTACTTACTTACTTACTTACTCACTTACTTACTTACTCACTTACTTACTTGCTTACTTACTTTCTTACTTACTTACTTACTTACTTACTTACTTACTTGCTTACTTACTTACTTACTTATGCACTTACTTACTTACTTACTTACTTACTTACTTCCTCACTTACTTACTTACTTACTTATGCACTTACTAATGCACTTACTTACTTACTCACTTACTTACTTGCTTACTTAATTGCTTACTTACTTACTTACTTACTAATGCACTTACTTACTTACTCACTTACTTACTTACTTGCTTACTTACTTACTTACTTATGCACTTACTTATGCACTTACTTACTTTCTTACTTATGCACTTACTTATGCACTTACTTACTTACTTACTTATTTACTTACTTATGCACTTACTTACGCACTTACTTACTTACTTCCTCACTTACTTACTTACTTACTTACTCACTTACTTACTTACTTACTTACTTACTTGCTTACTTACTTTCCTACTTACTTACTTACTTACTTACTTACTTACTTGCTTACTTACTTACTTACTTACTTACTTACTTACTTACTTACTTACTTACTTACTTCCTCACTTACTTACTTACTTACTTACTTGCTTACTTACTTTCTTACTTATGCACTTACTTATGCACTTACTTACTTACTTACTTACTCACTTACTTACTTACTTACTTACTTACTCACTTACTTACTTGCTTACTTACTTACTTACTTACTTACTTGCTTATTCGCTTACTTACTTACTTACTTACTTACTTACTTACTTACTTACTTACTTACTTACTTACTTACTTACTTACTTACTTACTTACTTACTTACTTACTTACTTACTTACACCTGTTACCCCCAATGAAGCATAGGCCACTGACCAGCATTATTCAACCTAGGCCTTCCTTTCTAGTTCTGCCCAATTGTCCTTTAGTTTTCTTATATCTGTCTCCAGTGTGTTCCTTGGCAGAGTTTTGGAGATTTGTATTTTTACACATTTGAAATCATCAACCAATCATTGTTAGACCACCATTAGAAACCAGCAAGCACTGAAAGACGGCCGTTTCATCCTGGTATGGGACTCATCAGTAGCAGTGTGCATGCACGACTCCTGCACCTCACAGGATTCGAACCCGGGGCCTTCAATATTGTGCGCGAACGCCTAACCATGGTGTTCTAACAATGATTGATTGATGATTTCAAATGCGAAAAAACACAAACCTCCAAAACTCTGCCCGAAATTTAAATAAATATTAAAATCTTATTATTATCTCATAAAAATTCATACTATTCATACTATTTTTCAATTACAAATGAATAATTATTCTTTTGAACTTGATTAGTTTTTTTTATTTTTCATTCTCATTAAAACAAGTTCATTGTTTGTTTGTTTTTTAAAAAAGAAAATAAACTCATTCACTTGAATGATTATTATTGAATATTGAAAATCAAACAACTATTGACAATTCATTCATCACACGAGTATATTCATTTCACACTTGACTAAAATGAAATAACCAACCCATTGTGAAGTTGTTTCTCTTTTTTTATACTTTAAGCCTAAATTATCATTCAAATATTTTACTGTCATTTGAAATAATCATTGTTATTTCACAAAACGAAAAGTCAGTTTATCATTAATATGAAAATATGACTCATGTAGATTTAAAGTTTAATATCCGAAATAAGCCATTTAAATCTCGTCGAACCCCTTGTAAATAGCTTAATAATGACAATATTCATGTTGACACTTGCTAAAATGGATTGAAGCAACACAAAGTGAATTCGAAATACGCCTTGTTAATGAATCTGATCGAAAGGCAAATGAAGTCATAAATGAAATAAAATCTTTGTTGAAAATTATCACGACGTCTATTGACTGCATTACTGATTCACATTTCTTTGTACATAGCTTAAAAAACATGTTATTATTATTAAATATTACTCGATGGAATGATTTCACCCTAAGTCCTTGTTATGTTCGTCACTAGGTATGCTTGAAGATATTACGAGTTCATCTTAGTTGATAAACACGAATGAGACGACTACCGGCGTCCAGATAGGCTACCGTGATCCGAAAACGGCAAAACAGATGACTTGGTAAGCGTAGAAAGTATGTTCTACAAACACCGAGCAATCACAATACAATCAAGCATAAAACTCTCGTTTATTTATACATCATAGAAACGTCTTTGGGACAGTCACAAAAATAGCACACTAGAATAACACAATAACCAATCACAACCAAGGATTTTCCTGGTGGGAAATGTGATCTCAAGGTAAACTGATCAGCCCATACTCGCACATGTGAAATCCAAAATAAGGCATTTATCAATCGAGTTCAGGGGATCTAACATTCCCAACAGTCCTCTCCCTTATAAAAGCTAATCCCAATTAGGTTAAACTTCCTGTACATAACGCAAATCATATGTAGAAGCTGTGAATTACTTTTTCCTGTGTATATATCACATATTATACAAAGTGTGTGTGGGGAATTTTACGAAGAAATTTGCTGTCAAATATGATGGATGATCTAATAATCAATTATGTATTCTCTAAATATTTCAAATTTCAATTTTCTTTTTCCAAATAAATTATAATTCTGTTAGGATATTTATCAAATATCCTAAGAGAACTATTTTTGTAAGTCTAATTCTATTGGTCGATTCCTACTGGTTAATATTATGGTCGTCACACAGACTTCAAATGTTGTTTCCTATTCAACCTAACTGTATAAATGTTGGGGACTTAAGATCTCCAGAACTCGCTGAATAAATGCCTTATTTTGGATTTCGCGTTTGCCATCATGGGCTGACCAGTTGACCTTGGGATTTCATTTCCCACCAGGAAAATCCATGGCTGTGATTGACTGCCGTGTATTTTAGTGTACTATTTTTGTGACTGTCCCAAGGACGTTTCTATGATTTATTTGCTTGATTGTATTGTGCTTGCTGAGTGTTTGTAGAATTTACTTTCTACGCTTACCAAGACTTCGCTTTTGCCGATTTCGGACAAGGCAGCCTAGCTGGACGCTGGTTCGTCAATCGGTAGAATTTTGAATAGCAGCTACATAGCGCAGCATTATAACAAGTTCACTAGGAATTAATTATTAACAGTAATTATTCTTTTGCAGTCTATTGCTAAATGGCTGAAATTAGAAAAGTTGAAAACTTGATCAGAATTACATAGCATTTGTCAGTAAGATAAATCTACGACATTGAGGGGATTCATGCTACCTGTTAAATTCATATATGTGTTACTCATCTTCACACTTTAACATGAAACTGTTAGGATTGTGGTAGTGTGAAAATTGTCCACAGTATTGAACTTAATGATAACATCAAATACAAACTCAAGTATAAAACTCTGACAGGCAGAGAGATTTTTATTATTTCTTTCAAGATTGTAAAAGCGCCATAACAAAATCTATCATTATGCTTGAATTATGAAAGCTTACAATTTCTAACTGTTTGATATTTAAAGTTTTCGAAAAAATTAGCATCAAGATATAACAGACAAAGTAAGAGGAATATAGGTCACATAACATTGAAATCATGAATACATTACTGTTAGACAACCATTAGAAACCTGGAAGCACTGAACGGCCGTCTCATCCTGGCTCGGGACTCATCGAAAGTGCTCATACACGACGTCTGCCACCCACAGGACTCAAACGCAGAAACTTTGGTCTTGCACGCGGACGCATAACCTCTGGACCAGGCCGACATCCAATTGTGTTAATGTCTAAATCTGATCAATCTAAGGATTTTGTGCAACCTCACCCGTTCGTCTTCGATAGTTACTACTGCCTACAACACTCAACAGCGGTTGACCTCCACTGGTAACGTCTTCTTACTAGAATTTGTTGTTTTTACACAGTAAAATCATCAATGAATCATTGTTAGACCATATCATTTTAAAATTATTCTTCTTTTAATATTTTCATGACTCATAAATGTGTTTACATAAAATTATTTAAATAACAGGAAAAAAACGAACAGATATACAGTTATTTTAAAAAAGATATACACACATGCACCTGAATATTACTTCAGAGTTCAGTTTTTCTTATTTACTTATTATTTACACAATAATTGTTTACTTCGTCTTATTCGCCATATTTATTATTATTAGTAGTATTAGTAATGGTAGTGGTAGTGTGAGTAGTAGTAGTTTAACCTTTTATCATCATGAACAAAACGAGGATTTTCTCATCTCGTCGAATACAATGACTTCATTTTTAAAAAAAATAGTTGTTGTGTCATACCTTAATACCTTTCTTTTTCTTCCAGTTATTCTATTCACTAATGTCAAGTCAAGCTGATACATGTCTCTTTGTGTGGAAGCACGTGTTTAAATGTGTGTTTGTGTGTGTGTGTAATGGCAGTAGTAGTAGTAATCGTAAGGACATTGTGTTCAATAGTCAATATTACTCATGAGTCAAATAAATGATAGATAAATTTTTCGTATAATGATTTATGTAATATATATATATATATATATATATATATATATATATATATATATATATATTTATTTATCATTGTGAGATTAGAAAAATATATACCAATAAGCCAATATGACTCTTATCATTATTGCTGGCGTGTTCTCTCATCTTGTCGCTTCATTATTCAATGTGATCAATATATTTCATACATTTCTTTTTAAGACGTATGTAATGAATTTCAGAGTTCGATTACAATTGAAAATAAAGGCATATATGCATTGAAGTAATAAATTTGTCAAATTTATTTATTTATTCATATTGTAATCCATTTTTTATTAGTTTGTATGACTTTTAAAAAAAATTGAAATTTGAACATAAAATGAATATGATGTTACATATATATAGGCATTTTAGTTAAGTGGCATCTGTGAATCAGCAAACGATTAATTCTTGAGGAATGATAGATAAACTGGAGTTAGTATAATAATAATAATAACTCAGAAGGTAGGTATAATCAAAGTTAACTTAGAATCAAAATTAAAGTCTGAAAGATTTCAATTGTGAAAATTAGAACAACACAACACAGATATAAGTGAACAGTACTGTTGTTTTTTTTAAAAAAATTAGATCGTCATTAAGCTTCACTTTCTGGTACACATCAATAGTTTTTATATAAAAATGTTGAACCGATCAAGGCTATCTATGAGTGAATTATTGCAATGAAAAGTACATACCTAATAGGCAAAAGTACAAGCTGATAGTAGGAAGACAGGTGTACTGATAGTGTGGTGTGAGCTACTAATAAGTAGTATATGACACGAGTGTAAACGTAATGTCTGGCAGCAGAAGATGAGGGAAGATCAAGAAAGGAGGAAGAGTGGGAACACAATGGAATTTGTATGAAACGCATGAATAAGTGAAATGTCAGACAATGGATTGATGATGGATTGATGTTTTGCAAATTAACGATATACGATATGGTTTTCCTATTTTACTGAGTAACTCAGTAATTTTCGTTAAATACAATTCGGTTGCCCTCACCTGTGTTCTCATTCACTACAATAGTAGTGGTAAGAATACTAAAATATAATAACAAGCGTTTTTGTCAATAGTAGATCAAACATGAATAAATAGACTTAAAATCATAATCATTACAAAACATTAAAACCATTACGCAATAAGAAGTGTGTACAAAATTAGATAGTGAAGAATATAAATTACCATCAAATACAGGATGTGAAAGCAATGTCAATAATAACAAAAATAAGGTAACTATAGAAAAGTTTTTTAAAAGATTGGTCAAGTTATCCCTTCCAGCCATGGAAGGGATAGGGGTATCTTCTGAACTTCTTCTGAACACAAACTGGGGATGAAAGTTCCGATTCCTATGTGTTCTGCTGTATAGAGGAAATGGGATCGAACTCCGTTGCAAAATGATGCAGGTATAGGATATACTGTTAAAAATGATTCAGATTTATTTATATTATGACATCTATCATTCACATGTTTCATAGATAGAACTGTGTATTGTCTTCTTTATCTGGCCCTCTCTAAACCATGCTGGGAGATGTTCACTCATTCGTTGGTTAAATAGCATGGCAGTACACTCGATATAGCTATGTTCAAAGGAGCAGCTGAATTCTTAAATGCCCATTGAGGAGGTCAACTCAGGTAACTTATCATTCGTTGGTCTAAAATTCAATTCAAAATCGAGTAACAGTTTACTGACTCGTCTCACTCAGTATGAAATTCATAGTGAAAATCATGTGATGTCGATGGTTATAGTCTCATGTTAAATGACATAGATTATTCTGGCTTCTCGACAGACCAATTAATTCATTCTTCTTTAGCCACCACCCACATATATTTTTTTTAACTTTGTCAGTTGTTCTATCCTAATCTTGAATACTTCTACTTGAGCATATGTGTATGCGCATCTCTCATCCTTTTTATCAATTTCTTTAACCTCCTTTTTTTCAGTTAGAGTTATGAAGATCAGTGTTTTTACTCATTTGAATTCATCAATCAATCAGTGATTGTTAGATCACCATTAGGAACATGGGAGCACTGGACAACCATTTCGTCCTAATATGAGACTCATCAGCAGTGTGCATCCATGACATCTGCAATTTGCATGATTCGAACCCAGTAACTTCGGCTCAGTAGTTCAGAGATAAGGCATTCTTCATACGCAAGACCCAAAGCTCTGAGTTCGAATCCTACGAGTAGCAGATGTCATGGATACACACTACTGATGTGTCTCATTGAAGGCCGAAACAACAGTCCAAAATGTACTTCCATGTTTCTTCTACCGGTGGTCCAACATTGATCGATTCATGATTTCAAGCAATAACTCGACAATCTCTAGAATCCTATCATACAAAATAATAATTATAAAAAGAAAAACTCGATGCAGCGAGAAATTATCTCAACAATTTATTGATCATAAAATTTAGTTTCATTCATAAAATGATTGACTTTTTCAACTACAACAACAACAACAAACATCTCTATTCTACTCTTATTTAAACCTTTTATTATCATCATGAATATTAGGAAATACAAATCATAATAGTCATAATAATAATAATAATAATAATAATAATTTTCACAGATAACTAAAGTTGTACCTTCTTTATCTTCTATTCATGAAACAAATAATCTACACTTTCTCTTATTATTTTTTGAAAAAAAAAACAAAACAGTAGTATGACCTGTCATAATTTGTTTTATTTGTATATTTAAAAAGAAACGAGTAGAAAGCACTTAAGTCTATATATATACATATACATATACAGATACATGTCTTTTCTTCGAAGTGAAAACTGACGTCTATCTATCTGTCTATCTATCTATCTATCTATCTATCTATCTATCTATCTATATATATATATATATATATATATATATATATATATATATATATATATATATATACGGATTTCCGCATAAAATATCTTTGAAGTTATTTCTCTTTTCATTTTTCTCTCTCTCTCTGTTAAAACTATTGTAGTTTGACCTCGCTGATTTCTATGAACAGCTTGTTCATTTGTGTGTAGTAGTAGTTCCATTTCCTTTTCGCATATTTTTTTTACTTTTTTTTCCTTTGTTTTAATTTTCTCTATTCATCATTATTACATTATTCGTGATAGTTAAACAAATGATATTGAAAAAGAAATTTATTAGAACTAATGAATGAATGAATAAATGTTTTGGGGCACAAACGGGTGAGGTCACCTACAATGCCGAAGGTCCCGGGTTCGAATCCTGCTCCTCGCTGGAGTCGTGGATGCGCACTGCTGATGAGTCCCATACCAGGACCACGAAACCGCCGTCTAGTGCTTCCAGGTTTCTAATGGTGGTCTAACAATGATTGGTTGGTGTTTTCGGATAAATGTTTATTGATGACTAGTTGAAAAGATGAAAAATTACACAGTCATGAAGTGCTTGGAATTCATATTAATTCAGTCAGTTAGCTACCATGCAGAACTTTGTATGGACGTATGTACATTAGTTTGATTTGGCATAATATATATTGGCCCACAGAGAAATCGAATTGTCACTTTAAATCTTACAGTAGTAGAGGTCTTAGTAGTATTGGGGTGCGCGCTACTTATAAGTAGTATATGATGCGAGTGTAAACGTAATGTCTGGCAGCAGAAGATGGGGGTAGATCAAGAAAGAAAGAGTGGGAACACAATGGAATTTGTATGAAACGCATGAATAAGTGAAATGTCAGACAATGGATTGATGATGGATTGAAGATTTGCAAATTAACCGTTTACGATATGGTTTTCCAATTTTACTGAGTAACTCTGTAATTTTCGATAAATACAATTAGGTTGCCTTCACCTGTGTTCTCCTTCACTACAGCATGAGTGTTAATCAAAAAGATGGTTAGGCGTTCGCGCACAATACCGAAAATCTCGGGTTTGAATCCTGAGAGGTGCAGGAGTTAAGAATGCGCACTGCTGATGAGTCTCAGACCAGGACGAAACGGTTGTCTATTGCTTACATGTTCCTAATGGTGGTCTAACAATCACTGATTGATTGATGATTTCAAATATGTAAAAACAGAAATCTTTAAAGCTCTAACTGAAAAAGTGTAGTGATTGAAGATAATTATTCAAGATGTATGATATCTTCCTTTTAGTTGATTTGAAATTTTTTTGGAATTTTCATTATGAATAGTGAGTGATTGTAGGAATTGAAATGTGTTAGATGCATGAAAGTAATCGATAGAATACTCCAAACCTTAGTTTTGTGTTAATGAAATTGTAAGTTTTAGAAAACTGTTGCATCTTTTGAGGTCTAACCCAAACCGACTTACAGAGTCTCAAATTGACTAGTTCCAACCACCCAACACCTTGATTATACTGTATATAATCTCAAGTCACCAAGACTAGCGGTCGAATTAGGCCAACACTAAAGGGTTAAATATACATTTCAGTGTTCACTACTCAATGAGGTAAGGTAACCACGTTGAAAGCAAGACAAATATCATTGATGAAATAAGATGACTATTGTGTTACATTAACTGAAATCGAGCATGTAGACAACTGAAAATTGAAACAACTGTTCAATATCACTATAATCGTCATTAGACCTAAATGTGTTACATCAACTAATGAGTTCACATCATCGAAAAATCTTATAGCTTATTAATTTCACCATTTTGAGGTTTGGGAAGATTGGAATTACCTGTACTCACTAGTGACTAGTTCCGTGAGGAATCTTCTCCAAGTTCTAGTGAGAAGTCGTGACCAGTGAAGTTCAACCTCTTCGGGTGTAGACAGTGTATGAAGTTGCGCAAGATCGTGAATTGATCGGAGTTAGATATTATTACTGTTGAATATCGGCTCGGTGATCCAGAGGTTAGGCGAATCCCGTGAGGAGGAGGAGGAGTCGAAGATGCGCACTGCTGATGAGTCCCATACCAGGAAGAAACGGCCATCCACTGATTCCAGGTTTCTAATGATGGTCTAACATTGATCGATTCATGATTTCAATTATCAATTTTCAACAGCTCTACATCATAAAATTATACTTTAAATAATCTTCATCTAAACATTTCACAATTTCTCTCACTTCCACTTTCACTTCAGGTGATAAACCTTATTCATGTTCCGCTTGTGGTGTATCATTCACTCAGGGATCATCATTAAAATTACACATTCGATCACGTCATAATGATAATACTAGTTATTTTTCATTGATACGTAAACCAGGTAAAAATAATTTAACAAAATTATGGACAAGAGTTTTAAAAAAAGATTTATCAAAATTCAATACAATCAAATCGATGAATTCGTCGGCTTGTTATTATTCTCATTATTATTATTATTATTATCATAATTATTGGAATAAATGGAAACATTCATTCAATATGGAGGCAAATAATCCATTTAAAAATGAACAACACCAAAATGAATTGAACATTGACACATTGAATTCCAATTGTCATTCGGTTTGTTCAATATCCAACGGCATTCAAAATTCACCGTATACAAATGATAAAATCACTAAAGAATGGATTAAATCAGATGATTATCAATCAGTAAATTCAAATTCAACGGTCAATATCATTAAAACTAAGACAAAAACACATTCACGACATAATAAATTAAATAATGAACGTTTAAAATTCAAACATTCACGAAATCAACACCTTAGTAAAACAAAATCTAATGAACAATTAATTAAACAGGAGAAATATGAATTTAAACAATTTGAAAATTATTCAACAAGGACAATTGATGAAGCCAATAATAATAATAATAATTCAATTAAATTAGAAGAACCAGAAATCGAATCATCTAGAAATGATCGATTTTCTACAACTTTAAATAATTCTCCTGAACAACCACCAATCGATAATTGTACATTGACGACTGATCAAATGAATTCGATTCAAACAAAATCAATGTTCACTAAAAATAATCCATATTTTCATGATATTCCAGCTATGACATGTGAAAAAAATCCGCTCAATTCAAATGATACTCATGAATTGGATCACAATGTGTGTTCAGAACAAAATTTACCATTCTCGATTGCTGCATTACAACCACAATACTTGGAAATTTGTGACATCTGAGTTCATTGTTGAAGAAAATTGAATTGAGTGCAGAAAAAAATTTTGAATTATTTTGTTTTTTTAGATTTATTGATATTTAAAATAATTGTATGTTGTTGTATTTATTGATCATCGTTGTTACTGTTATAGTCACCGTTGTTGTTGTTGGTTATGGTCACTTCATTTTTCCTTTGATTTTACTCATTTTATTGTTTTACTGATTATAAGTTTTTACTAATTTAAAAATATTTTATTCTTTTTATTTTTAAAAAATATATATATATACCTTACATTTTATTCTGATGATAAACATTTCGAGTTTCTTTTTTTTCGAAAAAAAAGAATCGTTTAGTTATTGATAAATTTATTTATTTCAATCATGTTATTATTGATCATTTATTAAAAAAAATAGATGAAAATGTGCTTTTTATTGAGTTTTAGTGAATGATTGATTTCAAACTGAATAAATTTTTATATTGTTTGATAAAATTCCCACTACTACTATTGTGGTGCGCGCTCCTTATAAGTAGTATATGACGCGAGTGTAAATGTCATGTCTGGCAGCAGAAGATGGGGGAAGATGAAGAAAGGAAGAGTGGGAACACAATGGAATTTGTATGAAACGCATGAATAGTGAAATGTCAGACAGTGGATTGATGATGGATTGATGTTTTGCAAATTAACGGTTTATGATGTGGTTTCCCTATTTTACTGATTAACTCTGTAATTTGCGATAGATACGATTCGGGTGCCCTCACCTGTCTTTTCCTTCACTACACTATTACCCATGAAACAGCATATGCGGTCGACCGGCATTCTTCAACCAACTCTATCCTCTGCTCTTCTTCCCAGTTCTACTCAACTGATGTTCATTCTTTTCATAACTGCTTCCAATTCTCGGTCTATTGTGTTCTTTGATCTTCTGCTTTTCCTTCGGCCATGATGATCCTAAGACTTTTTTTGTGACACAGTTAGGTGATTTTTGCAATTTGTGTCCTATCCACGTCCAGCGCTTTTCCCTGATATCTACCTCAATAATAATCTGATATTCTCCGACAATAGGTGTTTGCTGACAGTGTCTGGTCAACGGATCGTCTGTATATTGCAAAGACAACTGTTAATAAGCATTTGTATCTTTTGGCTTTGGTAGTTCTCCAAGTTTCCGCCCCATTCAGTCGAACTGTATTGACGTTTTTAATGAAAATCATGACTTTGTTATTGGTTGATTTTTATTTTAAGTTGCTCTTCGATTTTCGAAATGTTGCCCTTACTTTGCCTATCCATGTGTTCGCATGTGTATCAAGTCCACCTTGTTTATCAATGATGCTACATAGATAGATGTATACAGGTTTCTACATCTTCCAATGCTCCCCCATCAAGTATGATTGGATTGATGTATGTTGTGTTGTATCGAAGAGTCTTGCTTTTTCCCTTGTTTCTGCTGAGACTTGCTGCAGTAGAATTTGTTACTAAAATGGCCGATTTCCTCCTCAATTGTTGACGTGTGTGTGGGATAGAGGAGCTAGATCATCTGTGAAGTCAAGACCGTTCAGTTGCATCCGAGATGTCCGGTGTATTTCTCACTTCCCATGAGATGCTGACATCTTCATAATCCAGTCAACCAAAAAAGAGAAAGGGAGACAATAAGAAGCCTTATCTAACATTAATTATCACTTGGAATGATTCAGATGTTTTCTATGCAGTATTCCCTTTTTAAGTTATTTATTTCGATAATGTTATTACCGGTCATGCATTGAAAATAGATGAAAATGTACCTTTCATCCAGTTATACTGATTTAAAACAAATAGAATTTCAAATTATTTCATAAAATAGTCTATGATGAAATTGAGTATGATTGTGCATAAGTTTTTGTTTTCTTAAAAAAGAACCTGAAAGTTTCAGTCAAACTTCAATTACTCGCACACTATGGAATATTATTAAATTTCATTGAAACCATGAATCGATCAATGTTAGACTGCCATTAGAAAGAAACTTGGAAACAATGGACAGCCGTTTCATCCAAGTATGGTGCTCAATAACAACGCACATTCATGGCTCTGTAAGCGGAAATGAAACCCAAGATCTTCAATCCAGTGTTTGACCATTGAGATGATCGATACCGAAAGGTGCTGATTTCTAAATTTTATTCAATCTACGATATTGCGGTATCACCAACCACTCTCTCCGATGGTTGACTGCCTGACAGCCGATTTGGCTGAAGTTAAAAATGTGTATAATTAAGGATTTTTCAAACTAAAACAAAATATATTCAACTTACTGACTTATAAATTAAATGTTCACATCAACTTAATAACTGACAACTGTTCATCTAATTTGTTGATCCATTCTACAAATAAAATAAAAATTATAATGGGTTTTTTTGGTCAACTTCTTCTAGCAGTGTTAATTCAAAAGTATTGAACATTGAATTGACTGTAGTATGTTCGTCAATATTCAATAATCTTTTGAGAGTTCAATGTTTCAATTCAACAGTAAAGCTTCATAAATTTGTCATTCTATTAATAACATTGTAGATTGTAAGTATATCTGTCAGCAGTAATAAGTGTCCTCGGTTAAGCAAAAAAAAAAGAACGTTCTTTTGAAATATGGTCATCTGATATTATTTTAATAAAATCACGTTTCTATTATTCGGTGTGTTTTTTTCACAGTTGATGAAGCGTAAAGTTAACTTGGAGGTTAAAAGATATTCATATATATATATATATATCAAAGTAATAAATGTACAGAGTAAATAATTTTATTACTCTATGTCACATGAACCAAACTAACAAGAATAAAACGCTGTGATTATGAAAAGTATACGGTTAAGTTATGAAAATAAAGAATAAAGTAATCAAATTACATATGTATCATATTCAATGTATATAGTTTAAAGATTATTTGGAAAAGTTATGAGGTAACAAGAGTTAAAAATAAGTACTATACTGCAAGAGATAACTATTTTTTTGATGAAGTTACGTTCTCTGAGTTGTATGTTTTGGTTGTGCACAAACTGTTGGGGATGTTATGGGCAGAATACTTGAGGGGTCAGTTTAACTGGCCACGAGCCACTCTTCGGTTACCCACGATCTCCAGTCATCCTGAATGGCAAGTCGACGTAAGTCCGCCTAGTCTTAATGAAGTTGAAAAAGCGTTAGGAAATCTGAAGGCAGGGCGAGCTGCAGGTCCTGATAGACTGACCCCTGAGATATTTAAGGATGGTGGTCTAGTTTTAGCAGCCAGGTTGACTGAGATCTTAGGTAGAATCTGGGAACTGGACGCAATCCCATCCGACTGGTCTCAATCACTGATTGTCCCAATCTATAAGAAAGGACAGAAGTCTTCTTGTGACAATTACAGGGGATTCAGTCTAACTAATATAGTATCTAAAACATTGGCCTCAATAATACTTTGGCGCCTAACGAAAGCTCGTGAAGAGCAAACTAGAGAAAGCCAGGCTGGTTTTCGACTTGGACGTGGCTGTATAGACCACATTTTCACACTACGACAGGTCCTGGAACACAGACACACATTTAGGCGTCCTACAATAGTTGTCTTCCTGGACCTTAAGGCGGCATTTGACTCAGTGGATCGTGAGGTTCTGTGGCGGTGTCTGTCATTGAAAGGTGTACCAAAGAAGTACATTAACCTCATGCAAGCTCTCTACTCGAACACCACTGGTCGAATGAGAGCTTATGGCGAACTGTCAACGGAATTCTTCACTTCAAGTGCTGTCCGTCAGGGACGTCCACTTTCTCCATTCATGTTTAATTTTATCATAGACATGCTCCTAGAAATAACCTTATCCTCATCTGAATTTTCAGGAGTAGACTTTCTGCCAGGTGGCTCGCTCATTGACTTAGAATATGCCGATGACATTGTCCTACTTGGTGAAGATGCTGACAAAATGCAGAGTCTTCTGACTACCCTAAGCAACAATGCAAGCATGTTCGGGATGCGGTTTTCCCCCTCGAAATGCAAAATGTTGCTTCAAGACTGGGTTGCATTGGCACCTGAACTAGTGATAGGGAGTGAAGTAGTCGAGCTTGTTGATCGCTTCACTTATCTGGGGAGTCTCATCAGTGCCGATGGCCTGGTGACTGACGAAATCTCAGCACGGATACAGAAGGCTCGATTGGCTTTTGCCAACCTGCGTCACTAATGGCGTAGGCGAGATATCCGTTTGCTGACTAAAGGACGAGTGTACTGTGCAGTAGTTCGCTCCGTCTTACTTTACGGCTGTGAAATATGGCCAGTGAGAGTAGAATATATTCGTAGGTTACTGGTTTTCGATCATATGTATCTGCGAAGCATTGCTCGTATATCGTGGGATAACCGAGTAAGCAATGCTTTCGTTTGGAAACGGGTCTTAAGTTAGGATGGCAGATCAATAGATGAAGTATTAAAAGTTGATCAGTTGAAGAGGTTGGGATATGTGTTACGTATGCCTTAACACCAACTGCCTCGTCGAGCTTTGTTTTGTAGTGTAGGAATAGGTTGGAAGAAATTTAGGGGCGGCCAGACCAAAACATGGCAGAAATCCATGAAGTCATTGACGAGTGGACTTAGCCATGTCGGTAAATGTCGACTACCTGGTTGGGGTCCGCGAGATGATAATAATCGATGGTTAGATACCCTGAATGACATGGCTCAAAACCGTTTGCGATGGCACCGGTGCATTTATTCTTTGTGTTCTCTCAAACCCTAATCTTCTGGATTCTTCAACACCTCTAGTTTTTACTTTCTAAACTTTTCTCATTTAATCATACTTCTTGAATAATATCTTCTTATCCTAACCTCTCCGATTACTTCTAATACCCTTACTACCTCTTCTACTATTGGATTTGAATTGACAACTACATCTCTGTGCTGATGTGGTATGGCGACATGAACTGATGTACTTACGTACGAAGTTCTACGTTGCATCTGACTGACTGTTGGGTATGTTAGATCTCCAGAAGTCACTTAATAAAGATCCTAATTAGGGATATTATGTTTTAACGTATGAGTTGGTCGGTTG